TCTGTGGGATTAATACCATGGGACTTAGCTCGACGAGGTCGGGAAATGCCTGTATGTTAGTTGTTAATTTCTAAATCGGTCAACTGGTTCCGCTGATATGGCCTAAACAAATTCCGCTGAGTACGGATCGTTCCGAAAACCCCAGGAGGGGTGACCAGTATCTCACTTGGACCAAAATCCATCATGCGACACCTCAAATCACATGAGAATCCAAAAACAAGTGCAATGGTGGTTGTATGAAGTACCCATGGCCACATTGGACACATCCGGACATGTTACGAGTACCCCAGGCGAAGTGGCCAGTATCTGACTTGGACCAAAATCCATCATGCGACACCTCAAATCACATTAGAATCGAAAACCAAGTGCAATGGTGGTTATATCAAGTACCCATGGCCACATTGGACAATCCGAACAGGTTCCGAGAACCCCAGGGGCACTGGCCAGTTTATGACTTGAACCAAAATCCATCATTCGACACCTCAAATCACATTAGAATCGAAAACCAAGTGCAATGGTGGTTATATCAAGTACCCATGGCCACATTGGACAATCCGAACAGGTTCCGAGAACCCCAGGGGCACTGGCCAGTTTCTGACTTGAACCAAAATCCATCATTCGACACCTCAAATCACATAAGAATCCAAAAACAAGTGGAATGATGGTAATATCAAGTACCCATGGCCACATTGGACAATCCGAACAGGTTCCGAGAACCCCAGGGAAACTGGCCAGTTTCTGAATTGAACCAAAATCCATCATTCGACACCTCAAATCACATAAGAATCCAAAAACAAGTGCAATGGTGGTTATATCAAGTACACATGGCCACATTGGACAATCCGGACATGTTACGAGTACCCAGGGGAACTGGCCAGTTTCTGACTTGAACCAAAATCCATCATTCGACACCTCAAATCACATTAGAATCGAAAACCAAGTGCAATGGTGGTTATATCAAGTACCCATGGCCACATTGGACAATCCGAACAGGTTCCGAGAACCCCAGGGGCACTGGCCAGTTTATGACTTGAACCAAAATCCATCATTCGACACCTCAAATCACATTAGAATCGAAAACCAAGTGCAATGGTGGTTATATCAAGTACCCATGGCCACATTGGACAATCCGAACAGGTTCCGAGAACCCCAGGGGCACTGGCCAGTTTCTGACTTGAACCAAAATCCATCATTCGACACCTCAAATCACATAAGAATCCAAAAACAAGTGGAATGATGGTAATATCAAGTACCCATGGCCACATTGGACAATCCGAACAGGTTCCGAGAACCCCAGGGGAACTGGCCAGTTTCTGAATTGAACCAAAATCCATCATTCGACACCTCAAATCACATGAGAATCCAAAAACAAGCGCAATGGTGGTTATAGCAAGTACCCATGGTCACACTGGACAACATCTGGACATGTTCCGAGAACTCCAGGAAGGATGACCAGTTTCTGACTTGAACCAAAATCCATCATTCGACACCTCAAATCACATGAGAATTAAAAAACAAGTGCAATGGTGGTTATATCAAGTACCCATGGCCACACTGGACACATCCGAACAGGTTCCGAGAACCCCAGGGGCACTGGCCAGTTTCTGACTTGAACCAAAATCCATCATTCGACACCTCAAATCACATAAGAATCCAAAAACAAGTGGAATGATGGTAATATCAAGTACCCATGGCCTCATTGGACAATCCGAACAGGTTCCGAGAACTCCAGGGGAACTGGCCAGTTTCTGACTTGGACCAAAATCCATCATGTGACACCTCAAATCACATGAGAATCCAGAAACAAGTACAATGGTGGTTATATTAAGTACCCATGGCCACATTGGACAATATCCGGACATGTTCCGAGAACCCTAGGAGGGGTGACCAGTTTCTGACTTGAACCAAAATCCACCATGCGACACCTCAAATCACATGATAATCGGAAAACAAGTGCAATTGTGGTTATAGCAAGTACCCATGTCCACATCCGGACATTTTCCGAGAACCCCAGGAGGGGTGACCAGTTTGAATTGGACAAAATCCATCATGCGACACTTCAAATGACATGATAATCCAAAAACAAGTGCAATGGTGGTTATAGCAAGTACCCATGCCCACATCCGGACACGTTCCGAGAATCCCAGGAGGGGTGACCAGTTTCTGACTTGGACAAAAACCCTCCATGCGACACCTCAAACCACATGAGAATCCAGAAATAAGTACAATGGTGGTTATATCATGTGCCCAGCACCACAGTAGGCACATCTGTTCCGGGTACACATAAGAAGTGTCAGATCTCATCATAGATGGATTAATTCATGTTTTTTATGATTCATTTTAGATTTTTTAGGTGGTCAAACACTTTTTGTCGAATACTTACTGATATATTCAACAAAAGACTATGTCTTTCTCTTGTTTGGATTTATTGATTTTTCCTGGTCGAATTCCTGGGTTTTTCCCGGTTTCCCGGTTATTTGTCAAATTCCCGGTAATTTCAACAATTTCGGTAACAGCATTAACAACGACAATGCCGCCTATTCACCTAATTTTACGAGCTCCCAACCAACCAAGTAATTCCAATTCTGAAATAATAGCCAGATTAATACGCCCATTCATAACATTGTTTGTGTTGATTAGATTTTTCCCATTCACAAACGGCGCAGCATCACCATAAAGTGTATACCAATTTCGGATTGCACTGCTGCTTATGCTAGTCAATCGTTCCAGTCATAAAACCGCTTCCCGAGTAGAGAAATGTGTGTCGTATTCTGATCCTATACACAGTATCAAAAGTGTAGACTACATATTCAGTACTCTCTTCTAAACCGTTGTATAATTTCACGTTTCCAAATGTAGTTTCACATCTACATTTTGATTCGGCTTTCATCGCTCCACATTGAAAGTAACACCGGACAAAGAAACGACCAAAAAAACAAGTCTAAAGTGAGGCAATAATGGATTATAATTGAGTTTATGGTCTCTGCCTTCTGCTTGCTACCAGCACAAAACAAGCTTCGCTGGTCGTGTTGATGGTGATTTCCCGTCTTCTACGATGAGCAGAGTTCAGAGGTGACGGCAAATACAGCCACAAAGATACTACCATAGAGAATCAGTCGTGATTTTCAATTACCTCGTCGCCAATTTGATTCATGATGGTAATAACAGCAACAACAACAGCAACATCCGCGGAAAGATTTCGCGACAAAAAAAAAGGCAGCTGATGACTCAACCATGTCAAAAGTTGATGTCACTTTGCTCGCTCCGGTAGAGTTATATTAGTGAAAGAGCGTAGGCTTCTGGGAGCTCTGATTTAATGGATACTTTAACCTCCAGCAAGCTTCACCAAGCTCCAAGTTGATGCAGTTGCAAATCGAGCAACTTTCCATGTAACAGCAGTTTTTTTATGGTCGTGGTAGTTGAACAACGCGACTAGCCACCGCGAGGATATAAACAAAGCGAGAAGCCTATAATGCTTCATGGTTCGCTGGATGCGGCGCCGGCGACGACGACGACGACGACGATGTGGTTGCGATTTTTTGTTGTGACTACAAAGAGAGACTATTGGCGGCTGAAACAAAAAACGAAACTACCTATCGAGGTTAGAATTAACCGAGGATTGAGCAAAAGCCTGCCAACAGGGCCGATGTGGATTAATCTACCGGTGCGTGCAAATATTATGGTTGCACTTGAACGTTTATATAACATTGGATCACGCAACGGTGCTGGTACCATTTTATACAAATGTTCTTGCATGGCTTCAAAGCATTCAATGGTCCTTTGAAGCTTGCCCAATCCACGATATATTTAAAACTCAGTTCAAGTAGTTCAGATTCTCGGTTATACAAAGACATTCGCAGGTATTTTCAGCACACAAGCCAGTACAATTTTGGCATATATACCATACGAATCAGGCTGAGGCCTTGATGTCCTCTGCTGTCCGAAGAAGTCATCTTCACTCTACTTAATCCATGACCATACATCGCCAGCCTCGTAGTCTGTAGGTCAGCTTCTACTTGGTTGATCCATCTTGCCCACTGCACACCCTTCTTCTTGTTCCAGTTGGGTCACTTTCGAGCATAGTCTAGGTCTCGTTATTTTAATCGACCGGAGCGTCCTTTGCTTGCCATAATGCGTCTTTGAATTTCAATGCTGGTATCATTTTCGGCGGTCACCTATGAGCCAAAATACACGAACTCGTCGACCACCTCGTTCTCGTCACCATCAATCTGAACTCACGAGGCTAACATTGTCTTCCCTAGAACCTCTTCCTCTCATGTATTTCGTCTTCCTCTATTGAGTGGCCAGTACAATCTTACTCTATGCCCAGGGATGTCGAGAAATGTTTCAACCCGAAAAGTTCCTACACCGGACCGGGAATTGAACCCAGCATGGGCTTGCTTTATAGCTGCCCTTTACCGACTGTGCTAAAGGAGGCCCCCACGGGAAGCTAAGGGAATGCAATCTTCATCGTTTTTCGAATGCAGGATCCAGGAACTGCACGAGTTCTACCAGAAATTGTTCTAGATGTTCATCTTAAAGATTACTTGTAGTTGCTGATCGACGAATCGAGTTGGGATTGGCAAACCTAACCCAAATTTGAAATTATTCTAGAGAGTTCCTCGAGAGATTTTGACATGATCTTAACTGAGAATTTTTTCTCTAGAAGTTTCCACCGGAATTCTTCCAGTGCTATAAATCCAAGAAAGGGCCATGACTTAGAAATTCATATGTCTTCCGCATTTCATGCTAGGATTGCTCAAGAAGATCTCCAATGCATTTGCCCAAAGTCCTCTTCTAGAAATTACTCGTTAAACAGCACCTCCAGAAGTACTTTTGTGTTACTTACTCCAAAAGAACTATTTCTGCTTCAGATGTTGAATACATTTTCTGCTCGTTGGTAGCAAAATAAAACCAAACCCTGTTTCAGTCCATTTCTATCATTTATAAGCTTCACAATCCAGCTGTAACAAATCACCCAAACCCCCTTTTCCACTCACCTCTGATTGAAGGGTCGCACTCGGACCGCTACCTTGAGTGACGCCATCTCGATGACCGTGACCGGTGCGTGTGCCGCTCACTCTCTTTTCCAACCTAGCGAGTCTCGCTTGCACTCACAGAGATTGCAATTTCGATAGCCGCCCAGCAGAGGCTGTATTACAAAATCACTAAATACGTAGTAGGACCGTCCGATGGGAGGTTCTTAGGTAGCACCTAGATAGGTCAGCGACAGTCATACGAGTTGAAGCAATTGCAAAATGTAGCAGCAAATATCTAGGCCGGCCATGAACATCATCCAATAACAGCAACCAGCAGCAACCATCGCCTACTTTTCCATGCCATCTTTGGAGATTCACCTACTCCTCCTTCGAGATGATAACTATCTCACTCGACTATTGATTATGATTGCACCGTCGCTTGCTTCGTCGCCAGCGGCGCACATACGTACACTTTTGCTCCAGCACTAGTAACAGCAATTAGCATTATTTTTTTTTTCCTACACGGACTCTTCTTCACTCTTATTTTCTCCCTTTCCTATACACTATGTGCAGGAGGCATACACAAACGCGATATTTTTTCTTCACTTCAATTTTGCACAACCACTCTCTGGCCTCGAAGGGGGAGGCTTAATATTTCATGTCATTCTTCCTTCGCTGCTAGCATGTTATATTTTGGGTCGATGCTATTACCGACAATCTGCACGACAGCGAACTATTTCCACTCCATAAATTTTCCACGCACAGCTGTGCGAACAAATTTTCTAGGGCACAACTAGCACTGCCCACAAAAAAAAACCCCAAATTCTTTACGTATCACCAAGATGAGTAATCATCTGGTTGGTAGTAGGCGTCGTAGTAGCAAGCAAGCAATCGCGATCATAATCCGCCTCAGCAACCAGCGGAATTTGGACCACCCGAAAACAGAATCTATTATATTAGAATCTACAATCCAAGTAATTGCACCAAAATAGCTGCACTTTCTCCTCTCGATTTGATCAGAACAACAATAACAAACAAGAACACAACACACAGAAAAATGAAATTGCACGTAGTTTCGATTGTATTTTTTTCTAGATTTTGTCGTCTAGCACTTGTAAAAAATAGTAGGTTCACTAGCTAGTAAAACAAATCACGAGCACTTTTGGTTAATGTTTAGAAAATATGAACAAAATTCCGCACTATTTTAAGAAGCACTAGTCGCGACCCACCGATGCGTTCGAGTTCTCTTCGTAAAATGAAAACCGTTTTGATGGCTTGGCTCGCGAATCGCGAGCAGAGCGAAAACACAAAGAACACCTTTTGACAGTTCGATGGAATAAGAGGATCATGCTGTCAGTTTTCTGATGATGGAAGAGGCCATCATGCAACAAAACTGGCAGCATGTTGTTTTCACTCGTCCCACTCGCACTAGTCGTCCGCGGGTGCTGAAGGGTGAGCGAGAAAGAAAGTTGGATTTCTGATGCTGACACAGGCATTTGATTGAAATCTTTCAATGTGATTTGAAAAGCTGCGTCTTGCACAGTGATATCAAAACTTGAAGTGTTGCGGTCAGAATTGGGTTCTTTAGGGGTATTGAGGAAATTTCATAAAAATCGGTATGTTTTTCGAATCCAAACAACCCGATTATCGCTAATTTGTCGCATTCACAACATTCACTCCAAGCTACGATTAACTAAAATTATCGGTTCTTACCGATAAAAAAAAACGTTACTTTTAACGTTAAATAAGCTACACACTTAAATTTTTTCGTCGCGATTCGAACAGCCGAGTAGTTCTGCAATTTATTTTGCTGAGGTTCAGTAAAACAATTGCCGAGACTCAGCTAACAAATATCATTTTACTGATATATCAGCTAACAAACAGATATTTTGCTATATCAGCAAAAGTAAATGCCGAGGTAATCAGCTGTTGGAGATTTTACCGAGCTAGATTAAGTGTGTATATTTTACTATAAATTAGGACATTTTCAATGTTATTTTTTGGTAATCCATTATTACCGATATCTTAGGCACTGTTGGAGTAAATCGGTAACGCAGTGTGCTGATCACCTCCTTGGAGACCGAACGTCACCCCTAGCAACCTAAGTTTTCTTAAATAAACAACGGTGAAAAACTTTTCATTCCTGTTCAAGACTCCACTCAAGCTAGTCGTTAAATAAAATCCATTCTACTTTTAAACTTTGCTGTTCCGGTTCTTTCTAACCATCAAGAGGTTATGGGCGACTCACGCAAGGATTTGGTCCACGGGATTCCGCAGTTCTCGGGCACCGGTTTCGACAATTGGCAATTTCGAGTGGAGAAGTATCTGAAGTCCGTGAAGCTGTTGGATATCATCAAGAAGGATCCTCCGATGGAAGCGGCCGAGCTCACGAAGTTCCAGGAAGATGACGGTAAGGCGGCGTTCCTGCTGACGTCATTTGTTCATGACGATGTGCTGCATTTGGTGCGGGACAAGGAGACGTCCAAGGAGATGTGGATGAGCCTTGAATCCGCCTACGCCAAGAAGTCCGTCTTGTCGCAGACATTCGTCAGGAAGCAACTTGCGAAGCTACGAATGATGGAAGGTTCGTCTGTGAAAGATCACCTGAAAACCTTCGAAGAGTTGATCCGACAACTGAAGCTGGCCGGAGCGAAGCTTGAAGAGAACGATATTGTGTCCCAGCTGTTTGCTACCCTTCCCGAGTCGTTACGGCACTGGAAAATCTAGGTGAGGAAAACCTAAAACTGGATGTTGTTCGCGAGCGCCTTCTTGCCGAGGAGCTCAAGAAAACCGACCGGGCAGCGGATTCCTGCCAAGAGAAACCTGCAGCATTCCAAGGATCGACGCAGAAGCCTGGTAAGTTCACCGGAAAGTGTAACCGTTGCCAGAAGAAGGGGCACAAGGCCAAGGACTGTCGTGTGAAGTTGAAGACAGATGGGCGCGCTGAAGCTAACGCTGCTGCTGGAGGTAAGGCGGTGGCTTTTATGACCGGGAGATGCTCCCAAACAAAGGACGAGGGAGCAGTTTCCTTTAAGCTGGATTCCGGAGCCTCGGACCACCTTGTGAATGTGAAGCACTGTTTCGCCGACCTCACGAAGCTAAAGCACCCTGTCGTCATAAACGTGGCGAAGGATGATCAATCCCTGATTTCCCGGCACAGTGGCACGATCAACGGCGTCAACAAGGAAGGTAACTATATCAGCTTGAAGAACGTCCTCTTCGTACCAGATCTTCGAGCGAACTTGCTATCTGTGAAGAAGATGGCAAAAGCGGATCTTGATGTCACATTCACGAAAAAGGAAGCGATCATGAAGCAAGGTCGTGACCTGATTGCGAGATGTCCCATGCGGGGCGATTTTTACGAGCTCGATCTCCGTGTCGATACGGTGGCGGCCAACATGTGTGGAGCTGTGACTGGTAACCTGTGGCATCGTCGACTGGCTCATTTGGGGAGCAAGAGTTTGCAGACACTCGCGAAGCATGGCATGGTAACAGGTATTCCCGAGAAACCAGATAAATTGGATTTTTGTGATGTTTGTGTGCTCGGAAAGCAGTGCCGAGAACCATTCACGGGTACTAGAGTCCGTGCTACAAGACCTCTAGAACGAGTGCACTCCGATGTGTGCGGTCCAATTACACCAGCGGCTTGGGATGATTCTCGGTACTTCGTCACCTTTATTGATGATTACACGCACTTTGCAGTAGTATATCCCATCAAGAAGAAGTCCGAGGTGTTCCAGAACTTTCGAGAGTACGAGGCCATGGCGAGTGCCGCTCTAGGACATTCGATTTCGAAGCTGACTGTCGACCAAGGGCGCGAGTATTGCTCCAATGACCAGCGTGATTGGTACGTTTCCAAGGGGATCCAAGTCGAGCCAACCGCAGCGTACACACCACAGCAGAATGGAGTGTCCGAACGGTTCAATCGGACAATCGTCGAAAAGGTGCGTGCGATGCTGATTGAAGCCCAAACTCCGAAGAATCTGTGGAATGAAGCGGTTCTAGCGGCGGTATACCTGACGAACAGAAGTCCAACCACCGCGGTATCTGATTGGAAGACTCCTGCGGAAATGTGGACTGGTCACAAGCCGGACGTTAGTAAACTACGTGTGTTCGGCTGTAAAGCATTTGCTTGGGTGTCCACGGCACAGAGGAAGAAACTGGATCCGAAAAGCAAGCCTGCTGTGATGATCGGCTATGCGCCGAACGCCTACCGCCTGTGGAACAAAGAGAAGAAGCAGTTATTCCTAGCCAGAGATGTCAAGTTCGATGAAAACAGTTTTCCGTTTGCCACCCAGATCCGTGACGAAACTCCTTTGGTTGTTGCTCCGTACGAGTTCGAGGATCAATATGAGGAAGACGTGCAAACCCCTGAACAGTCCGTTCAACCCGATGAGCCGCTGGTGGCTCAACATGACGACATCCTGACTGATGATGAAGAAGGCGAGGTTGAAGACGACGGTGTTGAAGAAACCGGAGCGCTCCCTTCACAACTAGACCGTGGTTCAAACCTCGAAATGGAAACCCCGAGGCGCAGCGAACGGGAGCGCAGACTCCCCGGTAAGTTGAAAGAATTTCTGGTTGGAAAAATTTTCACTGCCGCGCAATCCCATTCTGCAGATGTTCCCCATAACGTTTCCGATGTACTATTTGACGGTTCCGTTGGACGAGATGAGGCCGAGCGTTCGATCTTCGATGTCCCGGAGGCGTACAAGGAGATCGCTGGACGAGCCGACGAAGCTCTTTGGCAGCAAGCGGTCCGTGAGGAACTGCAGTCGCTAGCGGACAACCATGCTTGGCGATTGGTGAGATGCCCTGCTGGTGTGGTTCCGCTCAAATCGAAATGGGTCTTCCGAATCAAGCCGGACGAGCGTGGCGAACCGATCCGTTACAAGGCGCGCTTGGTGGCGAAGGGATTCCAACAGAAGCCCGGAGTCGACTACAACGAAACATATTCCCCCGTAGCAAAGTTAGCCACGATACGAACCGTTCTTGCTGTAGCAACCCACCGAAGGATGCACGTTCACCAACTCGATGTGAAGACCGCATTCCTCTACGGTGAGCTTGAAGAAGACGTCTACATGGCCATACCCGAAGGAGTTGCAGCACCGCCGAACTTCGTTTGCAAGCTGGATCGATCGCTGTACGGACTCAAGCAAAGCCCCCGCTGTTGGAACAACAAGCTAAACGACCTTCTACTGGATTTCGGCTTTACCCGTTCCCGGCATGATTACTGTCTATATACCAGGATCGACGATCGAGGGCGGGTATACATAATCATCTACGTGGACGATTTGATCATTGCTGGCGATCGACTGGACCTGGTGAAGGAGATCAAGCGTGCTCTTTCCAAGAAGCTCCAGATGACGGATTGCGGCGTGGTTAATCATTTCCTTGGAATGAAGATCCGATACTACCGCGCCACCGGATGCATGTACCTGGCGCAAGAAGCTGCTGTGGACCGTGTGCTGACGAAGTTCGGCATGCAAGACTGTAACCATGTCAAAACCCCAATGGAGAAAGGCTGTTTCCTGCCACCACAAGCTGCGAATCCTGTGTCGCATCCATACCGTCAATTGCTGGGCAGCCTGATGTATACGATGCTGTGTGTTCGACCGGACATATGCTACGCTGTTGGATACCTAGGGCGCTTCCAAGTTCAACCTGATGAGGCCCACTGGCAAGCCCTGAAGAGAGTGGTCCGTTACGTGAAGGGAACGAAGAACTTGAAGCTCCAGTACAAGCAAATCGACGACGCCGAGGCACTTGTCGGGTACGCAGACGCTAGTGGCTTCGTCTTTAAGGTCTTTGGGAACACCGTGTCTTGGGCAAGCCGCAAGCAACAAACCGTTGCACTGTCGTCGTGTGAAGCCGAGTATGCAGCTTTAAGTGCCGCGGCCTCCGAAGGGCTGTGGCTGCACGGAATCCTTGAAGACCTGAAGCAAGTTCGACCGGACACGGCATTCAAGGTGTACGAAGACAACCGTGGGTGCATTGCAATGGCCACAAACACCGAAAGCAAGCGTGTCAAGCACATCGATGTAAAGCACAATTTTTTGCGCGACCATGTGGCACAAGGAAGACTTCAAATCGAAGCAATTGATACAGCAAACCAAATAGCGGACACGTTCACCAAGCCCCTGGAACCTGGACGTTTCCGCGAACTGAGGACCCTCCTAGGACTGACCGATTCAGGGGGGGTGTTGGAGTAAATCGGTAACGCAGTGTGCTGATCACCTC